CTGCCATTTTTATGTATTAACAGCTTTTAAATGTCCTGCTATTCTTTTATGAGGTTATTATACAGTTACCATACTATATTCTCTTGTATTCATTTAGTCATTCCTGTATATACTGTCTGTTATTTTATTATACACCAACCTCAATACCTTTATAGAAGCATATCTGTGTATGTGGGCACAGATAGTTTGTCTAATTTTAAACAGGGATTTACATAAGAATTCTACCATATGATATGAATTGTGATGCATAAAATCTGTGTAAATTACTATCTGGATTATCAAATGGCAAGGCCTCTAATGTCAGAGCCCCTTGACAAAACTGAAGGTGTTAAAGGTAAAAAAGCTGTCCCTAGATTCCCTAGAAAAGGTTGGTCATCTGCAAAATATTGACCAAATGATAACCAGCTCTGTGGAGAGCTAATACTCTACAAGATAGAAATAAAAAATAAAAACAACCTACCTGTGACAGAAGAAAGGATTGAAAATAACAGTGAAATTTAAGAGAGGACAAGGGCAAGTTCTTTGCATAGGTAGTAGAAACTAGATGTACAAGTATAGGTCAAGGGAACCCTTAGTTTAACAATAGTACATAAAAAGATACCGTAATACTGTAGTTGTTGATAATAAACTGAATATGGATCAATAGTGTGATATGGCTGCAAAAAAGACTTGAGGAATCTTAGGCTACAACAGGGGCCCCCAAACTTAGCAACTTTAAGACTTGTGGACTTCAACTCCCAGAATTCTCTAGTCAGCTATGCTGGCTGGAGAATTCTGGGAGTTGAAGTCCACAAGTCTTAAAGTTGCCAAGTTTGGAGACCTCTGCGCTACAAGAACAAACATATAATTTCCAAATATCAGGTAGAAGTTTCAATTCCTTCTGCTTTGTCAGGAGCCACTTAGAAAGACAGTATTGTCCAGCCTTGAGCGCCAGACTTTAACAAAGGTCCAGAGAAGTTAGACCAGGTTCAAAGAATAGGTGGGAAGAGGATCAAAAGACTGAAACCTGAGGGTGTTTGGATAGATAGAAGATAGAGGGAAAGAGGAATGAAAAGGTTTCACCTAAAAAGTGGCGCTTTTTATGTCACAGTGTGATGCAAGGCATGGTAGCAATACTACTGAATTACAGGAAGATGGATTCCAACTAAACATTTAAAAAATACTTCCTAACAATAGGAAGAGACTGGTTTGGGGGCTGTCCTCAGGATTCAAGCAAAGGCTACCCAGTCATCTCACTTGGGGGTATTTTAACTTAGATTCTTACATTGAGCAGAAGATGGACCTGGATAACCTAAAAGACCTGAAAGTTTTCTTGTTATATGGGGAAGAAGAAAGGAAATAATTGTGATAGTTTTTTTCCAATTTTTGAGCCCCATTTGAGTTTAACAAATCTGTACTTGCAGTTAGAAGCAGCATTTATTTATAAGTCATTTGAAAGATTGGTTAGTATTCAGAGCCTGTATGAAATACTACTAAATTCAGTATTCAGCCCAAAATCTGATCATTAATGTAGAAAGGATTGGGAATAAGAGATCATCCAGTTGCAATGAAGGGCATCGTCACAAAGGGCTTTTCCTTCTCCCTCAATGTGGAGATTAGAAATGGAAATATTGTTTAGGAGTTCAGGCTCATGCAAGCATTTGGCTCTGCAACAGGCACTTCAGGCAGCGAGACGTTGGTCTTTTAACACTAGCAACTCTCTACTTTTGGATCTACTGAATTTGTAAGAATTTGGAGAATCTTTAGATTTCCTCTTTTGCAATTACTCAGCCTTCAATATAATTGCCTGCAAAGTAAAGAATAAGCGAATAAATTCAAGATTTTAGCAAGCAAGTTCTGAACTGGAAACCACATTTTGTGCATGCCATCTTTGCTTGAGCAGCCAAAAGAACAGTTGCTAGTAGCCTGCAGGGAACTAACTGGTCACATGGTGTTGGCTTCCTTCCTGGTTTTTCAGCTGCCAAATTACATTTAAAGCAGCTAAAAATACATTAAATATTTTCCTTTCCTTATATTACTTGACTATATCAGCAGTTGCTGTAGCTGCTATGAGTATGTTATTTGATAACCAAGAGGAGGATAGAAGGTTATCAGTGCAGATATTAATACAAGGCGCATCTAATCAAGCGTGTAAATGCCACAGGTTTCAGCTCCAAGGGTACCCCCAAAGAAATGAGGAGTTAAAATCTATTCCACACTCTTATTTACACCCCCAGAATGCACTGGGATCTCTTATACAATCTTATTGCAAGGAGAAAACAAGCTACCCGAGAGGTAAACGACATATTCCCTTGTTGATTCTTGCTTTAAAATAGCTCTTGGAAAGTTTAGAAGAAAGTTGCCTTTTTTTAATTTGTGCCATTATTCAGATCTAAATTTCTTCCCTTCAAATTTACTATTAATTTTAAGGAACTTCTAGAAAACAATGTATACTACAGAAAGCATTTCAACAACAATAGCAACCTCTTTACTATGATTTTTGACCAGAATTCTTTCAGAAAACACATTATCAAAAATTATCAGAAAAGAAAGAATAAATCTAGAAAGTTTGTGCCATTGCATGGCTCAGTGAAGATATTTGGCAATCTGGATTATGAGTCAGTGTCCTTAAAAATCATATATGTAAAGTTTGTATGACCGTCAGTTTTGGAAATAATTGGAAAGACCACAGCACATCTCAGAATATCATACAAAAAACCACCATAAGTAGATGTGGGCAAGAGTCTTTGTCTCCTTAGAGTCACAAGGACAAAGTTTCTGAGAATAAGGAGTCTCATGAAATCTTCCCACAGATAATGCAGAAAGTAGAGCATTGAAACATATTCTAGGAAAATCCATGTCAGGGTTAGATTCAGAGGCGGTATTCAGCAGTTTCTGACCAATTCTGGAGAACTGGTAGCAGAAATTTTGAGTAGTTCAGAGAACCGGCAAATCCCACCTCTGACTGGAGACTTTACAGTATCCTTCCCCTGCCAGGCCCACCAAGCCATGCCCACAGAACCAGTAGTAAAAAAAAATTGAATTGCACTACTGGATTGTGTACATACCCTGTAGGAAACAGCTTACATATGGCAATAAATTCCAGGAACAGTAATGGTGAGATCATTGTCATGATCAGTGTTCTTGCTTCATTACCATTCATTGGCCTATATATTCATGAGATAGGCTGAATTATGAAACTACATAATTCCTCCATACATTAACTACATAATTCCTCCATATCAACAAGATTGATAGTTGTCTATCAACAGCAGAAGCAAACGTCCTTTAGGATCAAACACGATTCTGAGAAAGGAACACCCATTACGCAGGTATCAGCGTAAGGATCACAATACATGGCTTGGAAATAACACATTCAAGCATTGCAAGGAATGCTGTAATGGAGTTGGGTAATACTATTACAGGAATATTTTTTTTCTAATATGTCAAATCAGGGAGGGGTTTGGAGTTTTTGTGTCTTTGATTAACTATCATGTTTTTTCTAATCAATATTTTCTCCTGCTAAGCATATTTATTACAGTTGGTATAGGCAGGAATTTTTTTTTAACAATCAAGCAGGATATAAGGGAGATTCTAATCTTACAGGGCATGTAACAGCAGAAGGGCATCACTAGGAACAGGCAAAAGTGCCATTCGGTTGGGTGTTAAATTCCCGAAGTAGCTCCATATAATTGAAAGAGGGTTTCCAATTACACAGCTCACACATGTAATTGAGCAATGAGGGACTGACCTTTTCATACATTTGAATAAACTTTGGATTGAAAAAAATAGTCTTTGAATAACAGATGGACAGATCTAGAAAACCCAGCTTGGACTTTACCAATTTCAACTAAATCCTAATCTTTCCCCCTGTGGTTGAGTTCCATCTGATCCAGAATAGAGGCACAGTAGGGGACATGGGAGAGATGATGGTTGTTTCTGACACTTTTATAAAGAATCTTGCTAACCAAAAGATGACCATTCTGGGTGCAGCAAGGTGCTATTTCAGTTGTACTATACTGTCTTTCAGTCTACACTCTGCCAGATCATGCCACAAATGTTTTGTAACATAAATATTAATATTAAGAATATTAAAGAAATATTCTTAAAAGCAAGAGAAGAGGGTGGGGAAGCTTGGCTTCTTCCTGCCATCTTATCACTCAGGAGAAGACAGGGATCCAGTATTAACCAGTGTTCGGATTTTCCAGTGACCATTTAGATTTTCATCCTTGAATATTATACTATTTAAGAATGTAAATCCTCGAGGGATATTGTGACAAACAGACTGGAAATATTGCCAGTTTTCCCAGGAAATATATCAGCAAAGGTTTATTTCAGAAGTGGCATTTGCTAAAGTCAGGGATCATCTAACAGTGCTCCATGTTCCTTGGCAGTGACAAGAAGTAGCCAGGCCCAGCAGGGAGGCAAGGTAGAAACCGTAAACATACAAACAAGCAACATCATCAGAGAATTACAGATGGCATGGGATGGGAGGTAGCAATAGCTCAACTACTTGGAAGAACATCCATTGATCAGCTGGAAAAAAACACATTATGCACTCAATCTGGTGAGTCATTAGACAGGCTTTTAAAAAGGCATGAATCTTTTCATGAACCAGGTCATATAGGTTCATACTTTTAGCATTGTTGACTCCAACCAACTCTTAAATTTTAGGCAGAGGAAGGCTTTCTTAGCTAGGCCAGGTATTAAAAGTTGTGCCTGCCTGGGGCTTTAGCTTGGAAACATCTGAACAGAAAGTATGCAAAACAACAGACCTCCCCTCTACCACAGGGGAGGTAGCCCAGATAAGAATAGCCCCTTTGAATGGCTATAAAAGCTCCATGTTACAAATTTTTCCCTATTTCTGAAACTAGTAGCTGGACTATTCTGTTTTATATCTTTGCCTGACTGTCAAGAGACTTAGGAGTTTCATGAATTCAGCTGGAGGCCAGATGTCTCTTATGACACTCTGAGGCTATTCCATTGCCACCCGTCTGCTGCCTCTTAAAAAAGCGGCTCACCTTGCTGTTTTTGCATGGTGGTGAAATCTTCAAAGGTGAGTGTGCGCACAGGGGGCCTCCAAAATGCATATGTTTCCATAATGGCCTCCAGGCCAGTTCTGCAAAATGAAAAAAAGAAGAAGAAGAGAAGAGGGAAGGAAGGAAGGTTAAAAACATCAATGAAGATGTATTTCTCCTTTAGCGAATAAGAAAAGGCATGATTTTCTCTACCAACTCGACAACCATTAATTTTATCGTCCTACATTTCTAATGACACACTATCCGCCTTCCACGTTTCCTCTGGAAAATGAGAGAGAATTAATATTAAGTCTGAACTAGATGTCCACCTGAAAAAAGACAAAGAATTAAATGCAGTTTATGAGGGAGAAAGAGGGAGCCGATGATGTGCCACAGAGCAAAATCAAGGTCAAGTGAAGAACTGGGAATGTGTCCAAGGTTCAGGATGGCTTCTTCATGCTAAATAACGGTTGGGAAAAAGAAGTATTAAGAAAAGAGAGAGCAATTCATCTTCTGCTATTACTCAATCATTTGTTGTTTGTTTTCTTTCGTCTGCTCTGTCTTCTTTCTTTTGGTTCATTAACTTTGAGAACATGCTCACCTTCCATTTCTGGAGTTCAAGGTCCCTAAAGCCCCTTTTGTTGATGAAAAGACTTTTTTTGTTTGTTTTTTTGCAGCTAAAAAGGAATGGAGCTACCTTCCAAAGTCACCCCGGAAGCAAGGATATCATTGGTAAAACGTACGGTTTTAACGGTTAATTTAGGAGTGGAGAAATTGCCACAGTGTATTAGCTGCTAAATGACTGCAAGCAGCAATTGGGAATAGGGGTACAGAATGTTTCATCACAGACATTCTCTCTCAGTAAAATGACCACCCAGAACTCAATGAGAAGAAATTAATACAAAAAATGTTTAGATTGCTAAAGATAACAGAAACCATTACATCCAAAGTTCACACAGTGGAAAGCAAGAAGTACTAGAAATAAGATGATGCAACAAGACTTTAATTCATTTCTTTTCAAATATGATTTATGTGAAATCAGCATAAGCATATTCATATGATAATATAAAGTTTGCCAACATTTCTCCTTTTTTTCAGATTGGGGAATCACAGGAGACAGGTATTCATCCATCTCATCAGAGCCTGCTGGTGTGTATTGTTTAACTTTACATACAATGTTTCCACTTTTTGTCTGAAAAATGCAGCAAAATTTAAATGGAACACAGATGATTCAGATGTTCACAAAACCCAATTACATCATGTCACTGCTAAATCTACAAGAGATTTTCACAGTCTCCATGGAAATTATTGAATATTTGAGTTACAAACCAAGGGCAAGTCTCTTTTATATAACTTGGCTCACGTATACTATTAATCTGTTGATTAAGATACAGCACACACTCCAATTCTAGTGCCTATTCTATGACAAATTCTGTTTTTCATGCTTTTATTAATGATAGCCTGAGAGAAAGAAAAGAGAGAGAGAGAAATATGCACAACTCTAGTTTGGTCTCTGTTGTTTGATTTTCATAGAGGAGGGGAAAGACCACTACGTTGTAATAATAGGTAATATAAAAGGATCCCGTGGTACAAAAATGGTGAATGATATTTGATATATTTCTTTGTTTCAGTAATGCCTTCCATATGGTCCTCCTCCCCTGTTGCTTTCAGCTATCATTGTTCTATGAAACCACCTTCTAAGCTCCAAATTCAGACATATCTGATCCGAAATAAATGCCATATCTCCAATGCATTCAATGGGACTTTCCCCAAGACACACATATATATACTAGACCCTAAAATACTGGACCCTAAAAAGTCTTTTTAAGAATAAAATGTCCCATAAATAGCACATGTACATAGACACATGTACCTTTCATTCACTGGATTGCATATATGCAAAATTACAATTATAGCATTCAACCCTTCTCAGATAAAAAGGAGCTTTCAAATGAAGGGAAGCTTCTCAAATGAGATTGAAATGAGTTCTAAGATTCGGGGAAAGAATTGCCAGAAAATAATTGCCAATAAAGGTTTTTCTACAAAATGAAGAAGTTGTTTGAGAATATGAAGCTAAAACTAACTCTGTGAGCAAGTTTTAGAAAGACCACAACAAAACAGAGATTAAAAGGAGGTTTTTTTAAAAAAGCCTGCCACCTTATTTATTTTTGCCTTTCTATATTCCACATAAATCCATGTCCATTGTCTCACACAATGGCTTTTTACAACAAAACAAAAAACTGAGGATTATTGCTTAGTAAGAATACTATTCTACTACTGTAATCATGGAAAGCCAAGCACACACTCATGCAAATCCTGTTAGTTTTGGCTTAATAGCAATAGCACTTAGCCTTATATACTGCTTTATAGTGCTTTACAGCCCTCTCTAAGCGGTTTACAGAATCAGCATATTGCTCCCAACAATCTGGGTCCTCATTTTACCCACCTTGGAAGGATGGAAGGCTGAGTCAGCCTTGAGCCTGGTGAGAATCGAACTGCCAAACTGCAGGCAGCAACCAGCGGAAATAGCCTGTAGTACTGTACTCTAACCACTGCTAATACTTGATTCTAACCGAGGCTATTACTTGAGATTTATCTCTAATATCCTGTATTAGACTTGACTTAAAAATCTATTACTATGGAGTGTTTGTTATGAAGGCCCACCAACACATGAAGATTTGTATTTAACAGTCCTTTAACAGGTGACTAGCATATTGTTTAGGAATAACTTTGGATGCTCCAAAATGAAGCCAAGCCAAATCTTTGCAGAAAGCTCAATAACCAGATATGGGCCATGGATGTTTTTCTACTTGTATGAAAATCATCTCCCAATCAGGGGTGGGATTCAAATTTTTTAACAACCGGTTCTGTGGCCGTGTCTTAGTTGGTGGGCGTGGCGTGGTGGTCATGTGACTAGGTGGACATGGCTGGGTGGTCATGTTATTGGCTGGGTGTGGCCAACTCAACATCACTCACATTGAGGCACGCATCTCCTCACCTGGCCTCTCGTGACTGTGGGGATGCTGCAACAGTCGTAAGTGTGAAAAACGGTCCTAAGTCACTTTTTTCAATGGTCACTCCACACAAGCAAAGTACCAGCAAAGGAGGGGGAAAAAAACTCCAGAGAAGTTCCTGAGACAGGAAGTCTAGTCCTGCCAAGAAGGATTAACGGAGAGGCAGTTTCTGTAAGCAAAACCAGAATGTTTCCTTCCTGCCTTCCTTACAGGATTAGGCCAGTAATTTCTTCTAACAACCGGTTCTCTCTGAACTGCTTAGAATGTTCTAGCGAATAGGTGCGAACTGGTAGAATCCCACCCCTGCTCCCAATACTTTGTAAAGTGTCAGTTTGACCTTGCAATGTTTTAGCAAATGTACATTCAGTGTGATACTTTGTCTGGCAAAAATATGCTCTTGTAATTAATTTTTTAATAAATACTTTTCCAGATGTTTATAGCAAAAAGGCAAAGAAAATTCACATTTCATTTACAAATTATAATTATGTATGTTCAAAATTGTTAAGATGAATGAGAGATAGGCTTGGGGAAATAGATGAAGTGGAGACGAATGAGAAAGAGCTGGTATGGAAATATGTTGTTATCCCCACTGGTGAACTACAGTATAGCATAATCCAGCTTTTACTAAAATGATACAAACAGACTTTATATCACCAAAGCATTCTTCTGGATGAGCACAGCAGGGATGGAAAACTAAGGTCAGGGAGAATTTTTAACATCAACTCTACATTAATGGGAAAGAAACTGGAAAAGCCACTTTTACATTATATATTAAGGCTACACTGATCACATAATTTTCATAATTATTTGCCTTACTTATTATGGACTTTTGATTCATTTCTCTGTGTGAGTTTAATTAAATCATTTCACTAAATGAAAAGCCATTGTTCACATATGAAAAACGGCTGTACAAATAAATGAGAAAGAGTTCCAAACTTTCAAGAGCCATAAGCAATTGTGTAGGAAATTAAGCTGAAATTAAATCCAAACAAGACAAAGGTGCTATTAGTAAGGTGAAAACTGAACTTTAAGATTGAATCGAAACCTAATCTGGATGGAATTGCATTCCCCAAGAAAGCCTATTCAAAATCTAGATTTCTTGACCTAGAGGCGTCATTTGATTTGCAGATGGCAATGAGAACATTTTCGCAATTACAGCTAGTGTAGCAATTGCAGCACTTCCCAAAGTAGACTGGACTTAGTGGTCAGCTGTCCCTTGGCTTATAGCTCAAATGCTGTAATGCATCTTTTCTGGGGCTTCTCTTGAAAAGAAAGCCAGTGTGGTGGCCTAGAGGTGGAGCTCTTGTCTCACAATCAGAAGGCTGTGAGCTCGATCCTAGGTAGAGGCAGGGGGTTGGACTAGATGATCTCCAAGGTCCCTTCCAACTCTGTTATTCTAAGTGTCTACAAATTGAGGTGGTGTAAAAAATGGTAGCCAAGGTCAGGAATGATATGGTTCCTGCTCTAAAAGATTTAAACTGACTCCTAATAGCTGGAATAGATTATTGGTTGCCTCTACTAGGTACTGTGTAAGGTTCTAGTTTTGACCTTTCAAGTCCTTAATGGCTTACGTTCTAATTACCTGAACCAGCCCAATTACCTAACTTAGCCAGAGAGAGTCTTAAGAAGAAGCCTCTGTTGCTGGAAGTTTGGCTGTTGCTATGTGAGAAAAAATATATATACACATTTGGCTCCAATTCTCCCAGAATTTAGGAAGAGGACAGTAATGGTTGTCTTTCACCAAACTTTTAATTGTTTTAAGGATGGATTTTGGTTTGGATTTTGATTCAATTGCATCAATTTTAATCATCGTGCTTCATTTTTTAATGCTATATACCTCCTGAAGTGTTTGGATAAATATGGTAGAAATTGAGAAATAACTAAATGAATAAAAATCATTCTGTTACCTAGCATTCTTTAAGATTAGGCGATTACTGATCTGTACATCACTTAGCGACACATTATTTTTCAAACAATCCATTGTTTAAAAAGGACAGGATGTAATAGTGCAACTCTGCTAGACTGACTTGCCTTCTCTGACTGCCAGAGAAGAAATACAAAGCGCAACTACCAAGTCTAGGACTAAATTACATTAGGTGTCTTCCTTGGTCTAGTGCCCAATCATGCACTTCTTATTTCTTTTAAAATTGATTTATGTATCTAAATATTTTATCCTAACAAGTTTTATATATTTCAGAAACCTATTTGGCCACCCACTTTATGTACCATAAATCACAATGAAAGCAGTAAAACCATTTAAAAAGCATTGACAAATCAATGTCAAAAAACACCTTTCAGTGCCCTAAAAGGAAATGGAAGCCTCCGCCTATTCCAATCTTTGGGGGAAGTATTCAATTGAACAGGACTGTATGGGATAAGTGGCCTATATGAACAAACTAAAGCCATGTCATGAATGCCAATTACACGCTTTACAAATGCTACACTTAGCTAATTAAAAAAATAAAACCACACATTGAGAGCAAACAGACCTCAACTTCCTTTCAGCAAAGGAAGAAAAACAGACTACTAAATAGAAAAAGTGGATGAAAAAAAGAAAAGAAAAAGGGCATTCTCTTTTTGATACAAGCTACTCATATTTCATGCTCAAAAAGCATGACCCAGAGAAAGAGAGAGATTTAAAAGGAACAAAACTTGGTAATGGAAGATAAGAGCGTAGTAAGTTATCACTATTGTTTTTCATCTTTGTGATCCTTGACTCCGCCAACATAGTCAAAAGCATTTTTATGGGTCATTTTAAGTTAGGAGCAGCTGCTGTACTTTAATGCCTCTCCTGACTGCTGCTTCATAACCACAAAAATCTTACTTCCTTGTGGCAACTTCCAAATGTGAGTCTGAGCGCATAGAAATACTTCTGTATTGGTAGAAAATTTGCAATTAGGAGAAGAATAGAGAATAAAACCCTAGACTTTTAGTGATTTTACAAATGGCCAGCCATCAAATGGTGGCAACTGAAAGAAAAGAGAACACTGGCATATCCTGGACAAAGTTATACTATATGCTTAGATCTGCTGATTTGCAAACATGGTCCCCTCACTCTTTAAAGAATTTTATAATTGTAGTTTGACTCCTGAGAATATCCTCAACTTACGACCATTTATTTAACAATGTTTCAAACTTATAATGGCCTCAGATAAAATGACTTACAACCAGTCTTCAAATTTACAACTGTTGCAACCCCCCATGGCCATGTGATCACAATTTGGGCACGTGGCAACTGGATCACATTTACAACAGTTGCAGCATATTGCAGTCATATGTTCAAAATTTGCAACCTTCCCAGCCAACTACCGACAAACAAGTCAGCTAGGGAAGCCAGATTCATTTAACAACCATGTGGTCTGCTTAATGACCATGATGAAAATGGTCATAAAATCATGTCCAATCACGGGATGACTTCTTTAATGACCTTAGCCATCAAAATTCCAGTCCCAATTGTTGTAAATCAAGGAGTCCCTGATTAGCAGGCATAAGATATTATCATTGGAACTGCTTAATTGTCAGCCTCTGGGCATTGCTGCAGACAGCATCTGATTATTTTGGAAACCCCTGAAGATTTACAGGCCATGGACAAGCCACTCCTTCAGCACCATCTTGGTACTTTTTCTTCACAGAGCCCAAGGCATTTAAATGCTTCTTGTCTGGGACCTGGTTCCATTTGTCTCTCTTTGATCATCTTAAAATCTTAAATATTTCAGTTCAGTTTTGCATCAACAAAGCATTCTGTTTCAGTTACTTACCCTTTCTAATATGAATGAACCACAAGTTACCATGATTCCTAGAATTTGTAGGAAAATGTCCAAATGTAATACACTAAGACCTTCTGGGAGTCTCATTCAGCTATGCCTGAATTTAGCCAGTAACCTCTGAATCACTAATAATTTGCACAAATAATTAAATCGACCCTTCCCAATTTCTTGTTTAACGTCCTCAGTTCAGAATAATGGCAAATAACCTCTTCAACTTTTAAAAGACAAGACAGAGTTTAATTTTAGAAGGTGCTTGGGAGGATTAAAGCAGGTAAAGTGAGAAGCAGAACAAGGTTTAGATGCAGTACATGGATTCCCAACATAAGTTCAGATGATTTAAATGAACAAGTCTATTCTGCAAGGCAAAGTATTTCAAAATACGAAAACATTCACGCTGATTTCTTTTTTAAAAAATGCTATGAGGTTTGCTGTATTAGCTTTTAGAAGTGTGTGACTGGGAATTGGTTAGCAGTGCAGGCAACCCATACAAATCCACCTGGCTTTATATTTGGCTAGAGAGCAAGAATTTATATTAATATTTACAAAAGATGCATTACACCAAAGATTAATTCAAGTCGCAGATGATAACTATATTGAACTCTGAGAAAACAACTTTGGAAAAAGTGGTATACCATTTTAAGCATTACATTAAATTTACTACCAATACAATTTTTTTTACAGATCAGCAAAGTACACCTTGCTTGGCCAAATATTGCATAGAAGCAGAACTCTAATGTGGGAAATTTTGTCTAGTTTTCCAGTGGAATCTGGATATTATAATAGCACTGTTGTTCTTACAGCAATAGCATTTAGCACTTAGTCTTATATACCACTCCATAGTGCTTTACAGCACTCTGAGCAGTTTACAAATGGCAGCATATTGCCCCCAGCAATCTGGGTCTTCATTTTAACTGACCACGGAAGGTTTGAAGGCTAAGTCAACCTTAAGCCAGTCAGGATTGAACTGCATACTTCATCCTAACCACCATACTACCACATAGTGGTGAAAAAAATTATAACTCATGCACAAATCATAAAGCGTAAAGTTGCTGGACTATGTCTGTCCTTATAGGATTCTGGATTTAATGTATCATTACTTCTAAACTGCCTTGAGAAACGTTTTACTGAAAGACGTATGAACTTCAAAGCAAACATGTTACCATAAGTGTTGGTTGCAGAGCATTTTTGCTCCCTATGGAATCATGGGATTGGAAGAAACTTTCTAGTCCAATCCCCTGCCCAAAGCAAGGGATATCATCTCTTCCATCCACTGGCCTGCAAGAAATTGGCATGCTGAGAAGGGAAGACTTGAAGGAGTTTTCTTACCTGTTTCTTCCAGAATCCCTGAACCCTTTTGCAAATGGATTTCGGTCAATTTTCAACCTGGTAATCTGGGGAACAGAAAATGATTTAGATTCCATAGTGAATATCTTATTCATCTTTGTAAACTTTCACTATTCTGCAACTTTTCTTTTTTGTTGCATTGTCTATGAGATAATTAATTTACTCAACCTTATCTTCAAGCTATCTGATTTTATGGAACTCCACTTGCTCCTTGCTTTCTTCTTTTACTGTTATTTATTGATGAAATCTAGCACCAACTTCTGGGGCAGGGACTTTGAATAGTGCTATATATATATATTATTCATATAGCAGTGTAGTTTCAGATGGAATGTTAAAATAAATTTCCTCTCCCAAATGAGCATTTGTGATTTTGCATTTCTTGACAGCTGAAAAATGTACAAGTCATCCATGTATTTAAACTGGAGCTCAGTCACATCATGAAGAAAAATATAAACTCTCTAGTGCAGATGATTTGTTAATACATATACACAGATGTTTTCCAAGTGAATCAAAAGTGCAGGAGGCAAAGGTCAATACATCTGGGTGTGACAGACAGCACGGCTAACCCACATGACCCATAACCTCTCTTTGGTTCCTTTAATGCAAGAAACCCGGTGGGGGTGGGGGTGGAGAGATTAATCCAGAATGTTACTAAAATGATATGAAATATACAGTATTGTTCCATTCTGAAGGAAATATATTCATTCCATTCTTAGACATTTTTATGTTATCCATACATGCAAGGCTGTATTCAAACTGCTTTCTTGCCTTTCCAAAATGAAGTTAAACATGTTTTTTAAGTAAATTAAAAACATATTGTCTCTGCTGTTAGCTAATGCTTCAGAACATAAGCAATGGGTTTTTAGTGCTATATTTGCAATACAAGAGATTCATTCCTTAGGTCAGGGCAAGCTCATCAGAACATTGCAATCCTTTGTAGTTCTCAATCCTGCAATCTCTTATCCAATGTAGTGACCTCAATATCCATTAAAGTTATAAATTGTAAAAATATTTTCTTTATATTCTGCAAAAGCCATTCAATATTTAAGAGGGATTAATGGATGGATGGACGGACAGATGGACAGGCAGGCAGGCAGGTAAGCAGGCAGGTAGACTAGACAGACAGATAGACAGACAATAGAGAATCTTGATATTTAGATTGTTTTTCCTGGAGTTCTTCCAAAGAAATGAATTTCTATATTTACAGGTGATTGTCAACTTAGAAACAGATCAAGCCTGCCTCAGCCATCTTTCCATTTCTCAGCTTGCCACACGGTGTGGAAGTGGGGAGAGGTTAGAATGTCAGACCAGACAATAACAACAGATCATCCTGTGGGTGGGAACCAAGTTCATCTCAAACAGGTGCTAGCCTGAGACTGGAAGGAGTTGCCAGAGAGATGCCAGAACACCTAATTGGACAATCTGACCTGTGACAATGAGGGAGGGAGTTACCTATTCTTTAATTATACTAAAACTGCAAGAAATAGTTAGAGTTGATTTTGCTTTCATGCGTGCCAAAATGATATACTCAATAAACTGTTCTTTAAGAAAACTCTTTGCCTCGGAGTGCTGACTTAGTTGGGTTCCTCAGTTGGTATCTTGACGGTGATCTTGTAATTGTCCAATGGTTCTGGTTTATAACAAATTTTGCTCCTCTGAGAAATGCAGCCTCAAGAATACGGTGGGTTCTTCCCACCTGCCTTTTCTTTCAAGATGCCATACCGCCCTTGCTCTGCTATATTATAACTTTAGATGACCGATCTATTCAACTGATCTAGTCAACTGATCTATTGCAATGGAACTATTCTTATTATTTTTTCCTCTTTCCAATTAATTTAAAGCAAATTGTTTACATATTTGTTCACCCTTGAATCATACAGATCCATTTCCCAATCTCATTGATAGGTTCATGGAAGATGCTATCAAAAATCAAAAACTCAAATTTGATTGACATTGTTTAATAATATAATCTGATATTAAACCACATAAGCCAAAGTGAAATGCAGTTGCAAAGCAGACAGGTTACCAGGAGTTAAAAAAAACTAAGCAAGAGACACCCTTAACATATCCAGGCCAGCCAGATTCCAGGTGAGAAGAGCTCTCCCCTGATGAAGTACATTTGTATATCATGCCCTACCAGAACAAACATAAAGTTTAAATTACAATATGTGATATTTCAGTAGGGAAATTAAGTCCTAAGTGAATTTAACCTTCTAGAAAGTAAGTAACCTTTCCTTACTAATGCTTTGTTTCATATATGAAAGGAATGTTCCTGTGCTCGCAACTTGAAAATATCATGATCTGAACATGTTTCACCTATTCAACAGATCTGAATTATAGAAAAGAGATTTATGCCACCTGAAGTCACAGTTTTCCTTCTTAAACTATATCCTGTTGAAATATAGATAATATTGCTTGATTTGGCTTCTATTAACTTTCTTTACATTGTGCATCATCAAATATACAAATTTGACTTCCATTTTACAGGAAAAAAAGGAGAAAAGGTTAAAGTTTACCATTGGATTTTATGTTTTTCAAAACAAAGATTGGGAAATCAGTCATGTCGATGTTTATTTGGATAGTCTGTGAGATGGCCTTAAGTTTATCCTCCCAGGAACTTTTATAGCTGATGGGAATATGTCCATTTGCATGTCTGCAATCTGTTTCCACATTCCAGCTATGAGTAGACATAATTCTGGCATGGTTTCAATATCAGTTACTTATCTTCCTCTCATCTTTTTCTCTTTTTGGTTTTGCCTGATTCCCTTTTGTTTTTTTATAATCTAATCTTAAATAAACATTTAATCGGATTTAAATTTATGAAACTCAGAATGAGTTGTAAACTCAGAATGAGTAGCATGCTCTCATGAAGCTTGTCAACCACCCAAGCTGTAAAGACTAGGATAAATGAGGACATGTCTTTTTCCAATCCTGGCTAGGATGGTCTTATTGTCCCACAAATATCTCTGTTCCTTGGAGGAATGTGATTCGTCAAATAGATACAAAAGAGATGGAGCTGGGTCAGAATGTGGGGCAAATATAGTATAGGTCTCCTTTTAAAAAAAAAAATTAATAGAAGATACCTGTTTATGAATACTATGCATTTTCTAGCTCATTCTAGCTTTTTTTTATTACAGTCAAAGACAGCCATTATAAATAAAAGCATTAAAAACACTAATGATAATAACAAAATTAAAAGCATTTAAATAAAAAGGTGTCAAGGGGCACACCTTCTTGTTGTAAAGGTAGAATCAAGACTAGTGCTGTGACAGGAAAAGGCTTGTAAAGTTCCTCTTTGATTACCTGCTGATTTTGATAAGCAGTAACTGTGGTGAAGACGGTCTCTGGAAAATGGAAGGTTTTTACCCCATCACCTGTGGGGACTGGTTTTGTGGGAGACAGGTCACTGCTGAAGTCTTTGCAAATAACATGGATGCGTGGCTGATACTTATGCATTGAATGCAAGATTATCTTTTAAAAAAGCAAACAAGAAAAGAGAAAATCATTTGAATGCATTATTTTCAAAATAAGATTTGAAGTGAGATTTGGAGATCAATAATTAAGAATGACACCTCAAAACATAGATTACTGATCCATCCTTAACAGGGAGAGCAAAATTGGGAGCCCCTACTTTTTGAAGAGTTTATTGCAGGAAGAGATGGGATGAGGCTGATATCTAATTTGGGTTGACAATATCAGCACTTTCATGATACAGAAATAGTTTTATGAGGAGAATTTCCGTAGAGGGTTTTTGAAGGACCCCCATCCCCAGTTAAATCTAACCTTCCCCTCAGGTCTGACATGAGAAGCATGTTACAGGTCCTGTCTGCTACAGAGTTCCAGCTGATGGGACCCAGAAGGAGACCCTTCCTGGTAATGGCACCCACCCTGAGGAACATCATCCCCATCAAGGATGACTGGCTGTAACACTACTGATTTTCCTGAAATCTCCTAAAACTTGGGGATCCCATGGAAATGGGGAGTCCATGAAATGGTTATATTGTATGCAACACCTTGAATCTACTCTCCTGTGGTTTTGATTATGCTTTTATTATTGTGTTTCCTAGTATGACTTGATTGCTTATTTGTACCCTTTGACTACTATTTAGTGTTATACCTATGATTCTTGATAAATGTATTCTTTTCTTTTTCTTTTTATGAACACTGAGAACATTTGCACCAAAACAAATTCCTTGTGTGTCCAATCACACCTGGCCAATAAAAATTCTATTCTATTCTATTAATATTAGTAATTTTTTAGATTAATTAAGTTGTTTTGTTTATATTGCATGCCACATTCATGAGATAATATACATGCTACACATTATTTGATAGATAAATAAATGAATACATTTGATAAATAATCAAATAAACTAGCTACCTAACGAAGTAAATACTTTATGTTTGTTTGTATGTGCCTTCAGGTCAATGGACTCTTGGCATTTGGCTGGAGAAGTCCCTGTAGTTTTCTTAGCAAGACTTCAGACATGGTTCACCCTTGCCTACTTCCTAGGGGTAAAAGAAAGTGACTGGCCTAACATCACCCAGCTAACTTTGTGCCTAAAGTGGGATCAGAACTCATAGTCTCCCAATTTCTAGTCTAGAGCTTTAACAACTATATACTAAATTGGTTCTCTGCATGCATAAATTTACACTTACAACAGAGAGTAGAAGACGGGAATACCTCAAGAGAGGTAAGAAAGTGGCACTAATGTTGTGAACAGACATTGTTTGGAGAATGTAGAAGAGTAAAACAGGCAATATTGAGAGCTAGAAAGGGCAAAGCTAAGTGGACATCTATTGAAAATTGAATGCAAATTTTTGTGACTTACATGGCCTTGATCATCTAGTTCATTGTTGGTCAGCTTGAGTTTATCAAAACTGACAACTTGCCGCATCCAGGTGTCTCCAGATGCCAGTGAGTCAGGGTGAATATAGACTCTCGGAGGCACGGGGGAGTCAGCATTTCCCGCTACCATCCACTTGGAACTGTGATACACATACCTGGGAGAAGTGCAGATAGGAGGGAGAAAGCTGTATTACTTCAAGAGCAAATTCTCCCTCCCTTTATTTTATTTCTCTTTTTCCTTGTCACCCATCAAACAGCATTCAAGATGTCAGATTGTTTGCACAGGAAGGAAACAATATCCTCTGTCTGTCTGTAATGGGACCCAGATGATATCTGGAAATACTTCCTCACTTCTGCATCTCTATTAATCCTCTTTTCCAATTAGTACCCCCTAAAAACTTTGCACAATTGGGCAAGTTAATTGGTTAACCCTGCTAAAACCAGATGAAAGTCTTTAGACGCACTAGGAAATATTTCATTATTTGCAGACAATCCAGATGCTTGTGTTTCTCAATTTAAATCATGGAAATCCATTATTTCTTCTCTTGTTTCTTTTCTGTTTCTTCTCTAGATTTTGTATAATAACGCTTGCTGCTATATTTCTCGTGATCATGGAATTCAGTAAATACCAAGGGCACAACATTCATATCCCCTCCTGCCCAAAGGGTGACGTCTGAGGAAGCTAAATGGAATCTAGATGGACTGGAACAAAGGAACAAACTCTAACAATCTGAATCAGACAATGCCCAAAGATCCATTAAGGGTTCCAGAGCCACAACTAGGAAGGAATCAATCCTTATTTAATCTAGAACATTGTCTTTGTAGATGAATTCGTAATCACAGAGAAAGAAAGAAAAATGCCATAGTAGCCAGATACATGTACACTCTTTACTTATTTTAAGAAGCCAGATTCCAATGAAAATTGCTTCCCTGGTGCTGCTGACATAACATTTATTTTGTTGTTATTAAGTAGTGTGGTAGATTTGTATTTTGCTTCATCATTTCTTCTCAAGCAGTTTTTAATCTAAGCTTATATTTCCATTTCATTCTTCTACATTCTGTACAGAGGTGGTATTCAGCAGGTTCTGACCAGTTCTGGAGAACCGGTAGCGGAAGTTTTGAGTAGTTCAGAGACCCGCAAATACCACCTCTGACTGGAGATTTTACAGTATCCTTCCCCTGCCATGCCCACCAAGCCACGGCCACAGAACCGGTAGTAAAAAAAATTAGAATTCCACCACTGATTCTGTTGTGCCTTTTGGACCAAAGAAAGGTGAGCAGGTCGGGAACAGCTTGAAAAACCTAAACCCATTCAATTCCTAAAGGTAAAAGGTGAACGTTTCCCCTGTTGAGCCCAATTTTAGGGGGAAGTGCTCATTTCTACTTCTTAGCCAAAGGAGTCAGTGTTTTCCAAAGATACTTCCATGGTCATGTGATCAGCATGACTATATGCTGAGGCACACAGAATGCTTTACCTTCCCACCAAAGTAGTGCCTATTTATCGACTCGCATTTGCATGCTTTCAAACTGGTAGGTTGGCAGGAGCTGGGGCAAGTAAGAGGAACTCACCCTGTCATGCAGCCCTTGGGTCTTGAATTCAGGCTGTCAGCTTTCCAGTTGACAAGCTCAGCGATTGATTAAATACTATATCCTTCCTGGTTAATGGGTAAGAAGTACGCCATGTTTGGCATGTCTCTCTGGATTGTTACCCCATTCTTTCTCCAAATTCTTTCTAGCAAATGGGCTCAGTGTTGCCTTGCTTGGATTCCTACTCCTCTTTTTTAGAACACTATTCAATATAATTTTTTAATCCACTTTTTTCACTCCTTTTCTCCAAATGTTTATATTGTGTTATTTTCTAAGAGTAGCTTTTGAAAATATTAATGTTCTTATTCTTTATAGAGAGTAATAAAATATGTTTAGCAGATATTATAAGGTACATCCCCATGTTTAGGTAGCTATTTTTATGTTATGCATTGTTAGGAATATAAGTCACCTAACAGGTATTTGGGTTGGAAATATATAAACCAAGATAAACATTTTAATACTGTATATTTAAGAAAATGCAAACTTGTAATTGGATGTGGTTTCTCAAACGGCCATAAGATGGAGCCAGAAACCTGGGTTGTTTAGTCTTAGTCTTAGTCTCAGAAGAAGTCTCAGTGAGTCTCTGTTTCCTTCTGTTGAAGAATATTGCCGTTCCTCTTAATTGACTGTTATTCTTGGATTTGATGTAAGTCTGATACTGAACTGTTTTTGACACTGGACTTTGTTATTGGATTATCCCTGGATGAAAACTGACTGATCTTACCTGTAAATGACTTTGGACTGCCTGTTTTTGAACTTTGCTTTAATGTTTCTGGAAGTAAAAACCTACATTTACTGTACAGTATATCTGTGTGCTGTGTGTGTATTATTCAAACACTACTCTCAAATACATCTCCTTGTATGCGCTCATTCTCCTAACGGGGAATTACCTCAACATGCATCAATAACCATTTTGGTTCAACACTCAAGAGAAAGAAAATTTCTCAGGCAGATGAATATCATATCTATGAAAAAGATCTGAAATAAGATACTGTCCTATTACAAATTTTGGAAAATCTTGTTCTAACTTCTAAACATTTCTCAGCTAAGCTAATCTTTACCTGTATCTCTTATTATCCACAGGTACAATGTCCATGGCTATGTAATACTGCTGGTGAGGATCCAATCCTGTAATCTTCACTCTCATTGCAGGAAACATTCTCCTACAAAAAAGAGGGCAGGATCAGTAAAGAAATATGATTCAGTAAGAGCTCTCTTTGCTGAGACAGAAATGTTCCAAAATTAAGAAGTTATATTGTAAGGTGCCCAGAGCCACTTTGAATTGAAATGGGCTGCCAATAAATTTTATAATAAATACATACATACATACATACATACATACATACATACATACATACATACATATACATACACATACATACATACATACATACATACATACATACATACGCAAGTAAGAAAATAAGTAAGTAATTCATGGGATGTATTAAGTGAAACAACTATATATTTATCTCATTGCTGCGTCTTGTCCATTATTTTGTACTACTGTTGTACAGATTCCAAGATTTGGGTCAGAATCAAGATTTTCGTATAGAGACAGAAGTATGCATATAAGATTTTCATAGTTTTTTCTGTACATCTTACAAGACTGTGGCAAGCCAATGCCACAGAACAATTCAATTTGTTTATTCGTACAGTATATTTAACATATTAGCTATTAATTGATGTTCTGGTTTTTTTCTTTATTCTGCCCTTCCATGTTTAATTACATTCTTTTTTCTTTTCTTTCTTTTCTTTTTTCTTTTTTGGATGAAGCCCACTTCTGATGGCCTTGCTGTGGTATCAGTGCTGACAGCTGAGGTGATGTACATAATTTGTATCATCTAACTAATCATATAATATTTTGCATTAAATAATAATTTGCAATGAAGATAGCTTTCAGAAATGGTGTGAAAACATCAACTGCATAATGATACAAATAACATAATCTACATCAAATTGGATTTAATAGACATTTCCTTTTAACAGACAATCCCTCATCTCCAAATGTTCCATTAAGCCAAGGTTTTATGGTTTAAACTCAGAAATGATCTTAACGAAGTAAGTTATCAATTAATATCTTCGGGGGGGGGGGGATAAAAGAGGGAGAGCTGATGAGTAAACTGTTGCTTAGTTAATGTTACCTCATGAAGTGAGAGATCAGCTATAGTCTTTTCACCTTTAATGTGCATTTTTCACAAACGAGAATAATGAGTGGCTTTTACTCCTGACAGCTAGACGGAACTGTCTTCTGCATTTTACTACCGAATAACAGGGAAATGAACATAAAAAAATACATCATATCTTGCAAAGGCCAACTAAAGCCTGAAGCATTATGCTTGCTCAGCAAACCTGATATTCTTATGTTCTTTCTGTGTGGTCAGTGTCATTTTACATGACATAAGCAATTTCTCTTCCCCAAGCAATACCTTATATGAAGAATGAGCCAAACTTCACCCAAATAATGTGACTGTTCTCACAGCCAAAACCAAATAAATATATAAATAGTGTTAATTTCCACCACCTTTTTTGGTTTTGTGACTATTTCTCCTGCAGGATGCGAGAAAGAAATGAATGTATTTGCAAGCCCTAGGGTCTGCCTGCTCCCCTGCATACATCCCCTCCATCTTAGCTCATTTTCAACCTTAGACAGCTTATTACAGGGCCTTTTTATTATTTTATTTAAATGCCTTCATCCTAGAAACTCTGAGGTCACACTTAGTTGGTTGATTTGATTCATTACTGACAACCCTGTGGGTAAAGAAAGATTATGTACATGTGCCCTTAATAGTTTCATTTGACTTGAAACAAAAATATCACTGTGATATGTGATATATGAAATATGTGAAATGGGTAAGAAAACAGTGTCATGCTAAGATTTTATTTCACTGCACAACTTCACACTACTCTATCTGGGTTGTGTAATCTGATGGTGCTTGCAGTTACTCCCTCCTCCAATAGCCTTCATCATGTCAAAAAGAATAGATTCTTTTTCCTACCCAACAGTGCATGTTTATAAATGCATTGCAACAGAATTAAAATGAAGAGCTTTTTTTAAATCATGACCTCCCCTCACTCTCCCAACTTCTGATGTTGAGATTCAGTTATCTGGAATAAAACATTTATCCCCCATTGAATATAAGATCTCAAGGCACTTTCGGGCCTACTAGATAAACAAGGAGCAAGGGATGTCAACAGTTACAGAGTTTACAGGATGAAAAGCCTGTTCTGAATGAACCATTATCAACAGGGGTGGGATTCAAAAATCCCAGCAACCAGTGGGTGGAGCCATGGTGGGTGGGTGGTTACTGGAACTTCCTGTTTCCGGCTTCCGGTGGGCCTCCAGAGCCCGGGGGAGGCCGTTTTCACCCTCCCAAGGGTCCAGAGGCTTTCCCCAGGCCTCTGGGAGGGCAAAAAAGCCTCCCTGGCCTCTGGAAGCCCATCAGAAGTCGGAAATAGGCCTGTTATGCCACTTTCGGTTTTTTCTGGGAAGGCCATTTTTCGGATTCCCGAGGGTCCAGAGGTCTCCCCCGGGCCTCTGCAAGGGTGAAAACGGCCTCCCCCAGGTTCTGGAGGCCCTCTGGAAGCCAGAAACAGGCCTGTTTCTGGACTTCCAGAAGGCTCATTTTTCCCCCTCCCAGAGCCTCCGCGCGGACCCTGTACTTACCTCCACTGAAAATGGACCGTGTGGAAACTCCTGGGAGGGGAGGGGCGGGAGAGGAGGGGCCAGCCAGTCGGTTGAAATACCGGTTCGGCAAACCAGCTGTAACTTTAAAATCTGGTTCGCCCGAGTAATCACACTTGATTATCAATAAAAAAATTTACCTATGACAAACAGGGAACCAATGATTTTAAGTTACTAAAAGAAACAAATGTTCTAAAGGTACTCTTCAAAGCTGGCGATATCCTCTTTTTTTCTTCCCTTTTTACTTTGGGATCAATCTAAAAGTATCCCTTTGCAAAGAACCATATTTACTACTAAAAACTGTGCTCAACTCTTTATTAAGAACCAAAATCTCATTATGTTATTTTGGAAATATTTAACAGGTTAATCTTCCTTTATAAATACCTCCTAGGAACTACAAGCCGCCACCCACAAACCTCCAGCAGCTCCCAAGTTACCTGTTGAAAACATCAGATCTAATTGATGACTTATTCTTATTGAGGGGAGGGTTTTCAGAGGGGGAAAAGTGTCTATCCTAACTTTTTCCCCAGACAAGTACCAGTGAGAATTTGGCACAAAGTTATTCTTTAAAGCAATTGTACCATAAGTAGAATATAGAATGCAGAATGATAGGGTTGGAAGGAGCCTTGAGGGGTCTTCTAGGTAGTACAACCTCCTGCTCAAGCAAGAAACCCTATACCATCCTGGACAAATGGTTGTCCAATCTTTTCTTGAAAACCTCCAGTGATGGAGAGCACCCACAACTCCCAAAAGCAGGCTGTTCCACTGATTAATTGTTATCGCTGTCAGGAAATTTCTCCTTTTAATTTACTTTGATTTAAGATCTCTCTTTAATGATCTTCCACCCATAACTTCTTGTCCTGCCCTCAGATACTTTAGAGAATAGAATGGCCCCAGGAAGCCTACTGCATATTAGAACATCATCTTTATTGCCTCACAAACCATGAAGGCTTTCAAACCTTGTCTAAAGGAAAAGTTTAGAACTACGAGGAGAAGGAACAGACGTTTAGAGGTATTCAGCTTTGTGACTTTGAATCTGCTGTAGTAATAAACTGTTCACATTCCAGTATACAGTAGGTGATCACAATGATTGTTTTACTGGATTTAGGTAAACTGAAAGTGGTTGAAAAATACATATTCAGATTCTTTTCTGACCACTTTAGGAAGACATGTAACAAATTTATGATCTCTTGCTCCACCTAGCTGTTGTTTCTTCCATTTCACTCCTTTCTAGTTTGGGCTTTGTAAGCAATAGCATGAGGTTTTGGTTGATAATTGCCTCTGTCTTGATTTTTATGGATCGCTTTCAAATATCTGCCTGTTTCCAGGAACATTGACAGGAAGGGACTTTTAAATTTCAATATTGAGAAAAAGGATTTATACGTCTGAGACTGATTGCTGAACTGAATATCTGGTGCAACTTTTCAGGGTAAAGAAATCATTCCTACATTGACTTTTATTTGTACTGTAGAATGTCCACACTGTTTCAGTAGACATTATATAGATCCTCTTGTATATTTATAACAATAAATACTAAACATATAACCAATATAATAAATGATACCACATCTTCCTGAGGCAGGCAACTATTTCATTCCATTCCCCAAAAGCTTTTATAACATCTATGCTTCAGAGAAATCCCACTTCCATGCCCCCTCCCATTCATTCTTTTGATAGGAGGGAATTTCAGTCAGTCAGTCAGTCAATTTCTAAGCCATCCAATTCAACCAAGTGCTTCTGGATGGCTTACAATTCTAAAACAATTTAAATAATGTAAAAGAACATTAAAACAATCAAACAACCAAAAAATAAATATGTACAAATAACAGCTGTGATGCAAAATCAACCAACAGTAAAACTAAGTAACAGGGTCCTTAACACATTTCAAGCACCAGGCCCATAGCCAGGCTTTTAAATCTTTGCAAAAAACCCACAGGATTGGGGCCATTTCCAATCTCCAAGGGGAGAATATTCAATAAGGCAGGGGCCTCACAGGAAAAGTCCATCTTCTAGTTCCCATCAGCTGACAGTTTTTGATTGATAGGATCTGCAGCACACTCTGCCTGTTGGATTGGATTGGATGAGTAGAAACTCTTGAAGAAAGAGTTCCCTCAGGTAACTCAGTCCCATGCAGGGATTTAAAAGTGACAACCAACACCTTGAATTATTCCCAGAAACATACTGGCAGCTAGTGCAGCTCACAGAGCAATGGTGTTATATATATTCCTGCAGCTGCATTTTGCACCAGTTCAAGTTTCCAAATGCTCTTCAAGGGCAGACCCACATTACATAAATCTTAATCTGACCATCTTTGTTTGCATGTATTGGGTGGGGAGATCTAGTCAGAGTTCTCAATGTTGAAAACACTAAAACTGTATAGTTGTTGGATATGTTTGCCACTTGGAACTTATGACCTAAAGATAATGACAGTATTTTGAATAGATGCCAATTTCAGAACTATCTTCAAGGACCTCCCCA